TTCCTTCCTTCCTTCCTTCCTTCCTTCCTTCCTTCCTTCCTTCCTTCCTTCCTTTCTTCTGCTGTACTTTCCCCCCTCCATCTTTCTTTCCTCCTCTTACTCTGCTCCTTTCCTTTCAGTACTGGGGGTGGGGGGGTCTAGTCTGCCCATCAAAAGACTACGGTCTTCCTAATGGGACAAAGTTCTAAATAACAACAATGAAACAAGCTACAGTTATTAAAACATAACAATAACCGGGCAGTCTATCTGGCATAGCTTTCTTTTTCTGCAGCACTAGGCCCGCCATTGGGGAAAGCAGGATTAATAGTTTGGATAAGGTTCATTAAGAATATGGTACATGATGCTTTGGAGTAGGTTAGAACTTGCTGTAAAGCCCCATTTGCGAAGACGTAGCCAGTTTCTGTGTCACCTATCTTGTGCAGTTGCCATTTATCTACTTCAGACATTGTTTATCTATTGCACACCTAATTTATCTATTTCACACATCATATTGTGCACCAGATCTGATGTAGGAAGGTTTGAACTGGGGATCAATGAGATGAAAAGCTTGCGCTTCTACATCGTGAGCAAAGCAGACCACAAGGAAGGCTTTGATACCCTTTCCTGGTACCTTGTGGGAGTTACCATAACAACTCACTTTTAGTTATCCCCCAGCCTGTGATGTAACAAGGATAGTTGTCAGGGAGGATCTCTCCAGCCGGGGGCAAAGAACCAAGCTGCACATATTTGTTCAGAACTGCATTTTGAGAGAGATGGAGCAGCGCAATATCATGGCTGTAGGGGAAGAGGAGGGACAATGGGCAATGGGATGAAAAGGCACAACATGAACGCATGTCCTTTCTTTAAAGACCCTGACGGAAACCAGAATTGCTGTTTTATTTATTTACCATGCCTCATCATTCTGCGGTGGGAAATGTCAGTGCCATCCAATGCAGAGTTAGACCCTTCTAATCCCACTGACTTCTATGGAGTTAGAAAGGTGTAACTCTGTTTAGGATTGCACCTGTTGGGCAACTAGCAAGAATTCAAAACACGATAATATTCTCTGCGTAACCAAAAGCTAAATGTGGTGTACTTCCAAGAAACCCATCCAACATGGTGACCAACAGATCACACCAGACCTTTTGCTAAACACAAACTTTTCTAGGAGGCTATTAGGAAAGGAATGGAGGACAGTAAAAAAAGCAATGAAGCATTTCTTTATGTTGTCGAAGGCTTTCATGGCTGGAGTTCATTAGCTGTTGTAGATTTTCCAGGATGTATGGCCGTGGTCTTAGTCCTACGACGTCAAGACCATGGCCATACAACCCGGAAAATCTACAACAACTGAAGCATTTCTTTATTTGCTTTTTAAAAAACCAGTCATCACCAAAAGAAACTCTTGAGTGGCATAAATGGCCCTTTTCTTTCCCTAAAAAAAAACCTATTTTATCCTCACAGCAACCCTGTGAGGCTGGTTAGGTTAAAAGATGTTGAGTGCTTTTGGACTTCACAATAAACTGTGGTTTCTATAAACTGTGGTTTGTTGCGCAAACCCTGATTTGTCAACCACAGGTGCATTTGTCGTTGTTTTGCCATCAAGTCACAGCTGACTTAGGGTGCCCCTGTAGGGTTTTCAAGGCAAGAGGCCCTCAGAGGCGGTTTTGCCATTGCCTGCCTGGCATTCCTTGGAGGTTGCCCATCCAAATACTAGCCAAGGCTGACCCTGCTTAGTTTCTGAGATCTGATGAGATCGGGCTAGCTTGGACCAGGGGTGGCCAAACTGCAGCTCAGGAGCCACATGCCATTCTTTCACGCACATTATGTGGCTCACAGCAGGGGGGCTGGGGAAGTGAAGGGGAGACATGGCTCCCCGATCTGTCTTCCTTTCCCCAGCCAGTGTTCCCCCCTCCCTGGGTAGGCTTGAGGTGTGTGTGTGGGGGGAGCGGAGCAGAGAAAGAGAGCAACTTTAACTTTAAATGCGTTCTCAAAGCCCCCCTCCAAGCCTACAAATATCACTGGACAAATAAATATCATTATCAATATCTGTTTTTATCTCTTTTGTTTTTATTTTTGGCCGTCTCGTTTAATATTTATAAAAAACAAACCTGCATATTTTCCAATTTAAAAATGTGTATAATATTTGTTCATTTCTTGTGGCTCTCAGTCATCTGACATTTATTCTTGGTGGCTCTTACATTGAGCAAGTTTGGCCACCCCTGGCTTGGACTATGCCGATCAGGGCCCACAAGTGCAGAATATACCATAATTAGTTAGGAAATCCCTCCTCGGGCACCCCCCCCCGAACTCCCTTGCATTTCCAGGCTGCTTTCAAAGCCTTGTGATGTATGCTGCCTGCTAGCTATTGGCTGGCTGCTATAAATGGGAGGGCAAAAGGAAAGAAGATTTTTATAGATCTTCAGGTCACTCTTTACACTAAGCTGATGCCTTTGTAGCTACCTGCTTCATTGAATTTTGGGTACACCTGGAACAATTGCGTATCTAAAATAGTTTTAATCCCAGGCACTACATGATCTGCTGCTTAATCCGGGAGGATTATTTGGGTGGGTAATATTTCCAGGATAACACTTACTGTCCGGGAACGAAGGCACTGTTCCAAAAAGGATGCACAAAGATACGCTCCACATTTAAATATTGCTCTGTGCTGTCGTTTTGATAAATGTTGTGGTCACCAGCAACCACACGGAAATTCCTGTTTCTGGAGATAAGAGGGCATGAAAATGGAAAAGTTATATTGCCAGTCTGCAATCCTTCTATCAGTCCCTAACATATTCTTCCCCTCTGGTGTTTGGCAGAAGGTATGAAGCACTCAGAACTGAATAAGAGGTTCACAGCATGGCAGGCAGGAAGACATATCCTGTGTGCATTGGGTGGGGTTTCTGATAGCTAAGCAATCCCTCCTCCAAGGACTGTGATCTCAGGGGTTCCTATACAGCTGCAGTTCTCCACCAGAATTCAAAGGAGGATTCCAAGGTGACAGCTGTGGCTCCCCACCCACTTAAGGGCATGCTTCACACTCCTGGTAAGATGGCAGCAGCTGGTGACCAATGGGATTGCTGGAGGAGGCTGCTGGGATATGTAGTGCAGCGTGAGGGAAGTGGCTACTTTTGTGTGTTCTACAGGGAGTGTTTTGGAACAGTGCTTTTGAAAAACTCAATGTTTCAAAGCCGGGAGGAGAGAATAAAAGAGAGAAGTCTCATCCTGTGTGCTGGCGTTATTTAAAAGCTTGGTGCAAAACTGGAGTCACAGGCATGAAAAAGAGGATCCTTCTCGGACTCTCTCTCTCCCCAGTCTCTGAAAAAACTTTAATCTTTTCAATTAACCTCTTCCCCACCCCGTGTGCTGCAAAGCTGTAGGCAGAGAAACTGGCATGAAAAAAGACAAAGGAGGCTTCTCAGCCTGCTGTCCCCCCCCCCAAAAAAGTGAAACACACAGCTGTTTTGTTTTTTTGAGAAGTTCCTCTGTGTGTGTGTGTGTGTGTGTGTGTGTGTGTGTGAAAGAAAGAGATCTCTGTAAAAATAAATGCACAAGTGGTGTTTCACAACACTGGCATGAAGAGCGGATGATATGCAGGTGGCTAACTGACAAAAAAAACAGAAGGTTCAGACTTCCCAAACAGCTTGAGATTGCAAAGGAGAGTTCAGCCGTCTGGAAATGCGGGATGAAACCAGCTACATCCATAAAGACTGGGCTTTCCCAGGTGTCAAAAAACTCACAATCAGAGTGGGGTGAGGATGGGGGGGGGGGCGTAATGACTGTGGGATGGGATACTGATGATGCCGTTTGAACGTGCAATTTAAATCCGCAGGGTAACAGAAATGGCATCGGATCGAACAGCTCGTCTGTTCACAGCCCTGGAAAGTGGAACGATAAGAGGATGATGTTGTGTGGATGCTACAAAAGCAAAAACAAAACCCAGTCCAGGCTGGATGTCAAACTGAGCAAAACTCCCATGTGGAAGTGGCCTCATTCCCAGTATGGCTTACTATTTGAAGACACAACCTCAAGAAAAGATTGATTTTTTTTTTTACACATGTAAAGGCATAAGGCGAGCATTTGCAGTAGACCCAGTATGAATTCCTCTGCCCCAGTCCCACTCACTGACATTCCAATTAATGCCTCTTTGCTTTTCCTGAGCCCTGGTCACACAGGCTGGATATCGCGGGGGGAGGCGTGGCCCCGGCGCAGTTTGATCCGCGATTACGCGATCAGACGCGCCAGCAGCACACCACCGGTCCTTCCCTCAGCATCGGCAGGTAAACGAGGGACCGGAGGGGAATGCCACGCGCTGGCGCGATCACACCACGGGCGTCTGGAGGCAGCCCGTGGCAAACGTTTACTAGTACCTTGGAGGTACTAGTTTTTTAACTCGCATTGTCGGCGGTAACCTCGGGTGCGCTCCACTTCCCAGATGTTGGGGTGTGATCGCACATGGATAATCTGCCCACCATCCGTGCCTCTCCCGCAGCAACTTTGCCATGTGACCAGGGCCCTGGATAGCCAATGAAGATATTCTCACCTGTCCACACAGTGAGCTGCCGTCATCACCCAGTTCTGCCTCACCAGTGTCCCGCCGCATGTATGAAGCCAGCGTTCTCCTGAAGAGTACTGGAGGGAAATCTAGATAGGGGTAGCGTTGAGAGAGTCTTGGATTATTCTTTATCTCACCAAAAGGAACACAAGATGCCTTTATAGTCAGATTAGTGATACGACAGGAGCAAATCATCTATTGGAGGGACACTCATTTGCAGACCGCTTATTAAAAGCATTCATGGTTGGACACGAGGGCAAAATTTGAAGCCTTCCTCTTGGCTAAGGAGTTGTCCTACCACTCCACTCATGAAAGTTGGAAGGCTTTGTAATGTATTCAAAGCTGCCTTGAATGCAATGCGTGAAACATCTAATTGAAATGTCATGTTGAGCTTTGTCCTGGGCTAGAATCCAAAGATATCCAATCATATCGCTAGCCCAGGGAGTAACAAGCCAATCACTTCAAGCAAGCTTCCTGAGCGGGAACTAATGTGATTGGACCTTATCTCTGCAACCTCATAGGTTGATATGTGTACAGTGGGTGTGGCTATATTAGCCGGGAATGTTTAAAAGCAGGACAGCTGCAATGTAAAGGCTGTTCTGGCTATCAGATGTTGATCTGTGTTAGAATTGTGTTCGAGTTGAAGAATAAAGTTGTGTTCTTGCTGAATCACTCTCTGACTGCTTTGTTAAATGAGCGACTTAACAGGCTTCCTCAAGGCTAAGGATTTCTCTTCCAAAGTAAGTGGCTTTGCCTCTGATGGAAGATTCGCTTAAAGTTGGAGCAAGGATCCTTTGGCTTAAACTTTCCTAAGGGGAGTTGTAAGATATAGGCCAGTGAGTATCTGTCTCCCTGTGAGTCCATTTCGCTGGGACTGGCACTCCTGGCAGAAGAGACTCTTGGAATAGAAGGAAAGCGACACTTCTAGCGGGTTGGACTGGAGGAAAGTGACACTTCTAGCGGGTTGTTTTCTTTAAATTAAGAACAGTGGAGGGAAAATGCAGTCTTGAACAGAAGCTCCAGGGGAGGAAGGCGCTGCTTAGCCTTTCTCCTCAACCCATTTTCCCACTCAACATTTTCCTCCCTTTCAGCCTGCTTTTTTTCTGCCTGCAACAAAAAGGATAGGGGTCCCAAGGGAAACCGAAAAGGCTTTCTGTAACTAGAGGTTCCACTCCTGCATCCAATTAGAGAATCTGGACTCAACAATTTTCGAAATATATGTATGAGGTATTTTCAACAGATAAATAAGTATAAACTCTCTCATTTATGTGTGTTTGTCTGAAAATAATAAAATTGTTTGAAAAAAAACACAATTTTCAAGACTCTGCCTGTGCAAACCATTTAGCAGCAGAATTCTCCAGGATTTATCAATCAAAGGATGATTATCAATCTGATAATACAAATAAGTAAGGGGTGAGTTTGGCTCTTTGAACTATAACCAGCAAACCAGGCTGAAAACCTGTTTATTGAGGCAAGGAATCCTTCTCTTTATTGTGCAAGACTGTAACATGTACCCCTACAGTTACTGTAAAAATAAGTGCTAAAATTACCAAAGTTCTTAGCACTGCTTAATAATATAGAGAGTAATTATTTAAAAAGCAAACCAGGTTTCAGCTTTTTGTCTCACTGCTTTTAGTGGTTATTAAAAAGCCCAAGTTACACAAACCCAGAAATTTCACCTATCTTCTTACAAGACTTCCAACCAGAGAAATATGATTTGCTTATCACAGAAGTACATATCTATAGAAAAATATTAATCTTAAATATTAATAAATATTAATACAATATTAATAAAATGGCCATAAATCTATGCAGTTGGCTACCATAAAACTGAGAGATCAAATGAAGTGAAAGCAGCATGCAATGTGGACACTGACATAAAATCCGACAATCAATCAATGCAGAGGGGAATTTCTGTTCCAGCATGTGTGTGGTAAGACAGCGGAGCAAGTGCTAGATGCAGATTGGGCCTTCGTCTGTTGTGTTACATCTTTCACGCTAGCCATCAGAATAAGGAGGCATAATACCCAAACAGGAGCACAGTTTAATAAGTCAGGTTCTTGCTCAGTGTGTGTCCTGGAGTGGACCAGGACAATCAGAAGCTCTAGCCCAAATTAAAGAAACAGAATTGTAAACCAACACCACCACCACCACCACCACAGACCGCAAAAGAGATGGTTCATTTACCTGTGATGGCCATGAATTCCTCATTGCATCTTCGCCCCCAACAACACGACCATGGTCCTCAAGTGATCCCTCTGAACAGCGTCCTTAAGGAATAAAACAGTGTCCAAGTGCATGATCACAGTTAGCTACAGCCACTGGAGACCTGAGAAACACCAGTGGCTGTTGGGAGAACTCAATAAGCAATCATATAAAGTCACTTCCTGTTGTCATGGACTAGGGCACAGACTCTTCTTCCTCAGGCAAAGAAACCAAAGACTTGTACAAAGGTAAGGATGAAGTCCTGCAATCACCCCATTAAGAAGCATCCAGGATAGGGTTGCCAACTCCAGCCAGAGAAATGCCTAAAGATTTGGGGGCAGTGCCTGAGGAGGAGGAAATCTAGGGAGGGATTTATCCTAGAATCTATAGTATACCACAGAGGTTGCTCTCCAAAGCTGCCATTTTGTCCAGGGGAACTGATCTGTGTAGTCTGAAGCTCAGTTGTAATAACTAGGATTGCCAACCCCAGGGTGGGAAATTCCTGGAGATTTTGGGATGGAGCCTTAAAGAGGGCATGGTTTGGGAGGGGAGGGACCTCAGTGGAATATAATGCCATACAGTCCACTCTCCAAAACAGCCATTTTCTCCAGGGGAGCTGATCTCTGTAGGCAGGAGATCAGTTGTAATTCTGGGAGATCTCCAAGCCCCACTTGGAGGCTGGCAACCATAGTTGTAATGCTGGGAAAGTTTCTCATCAAAGGCTCTTAAGTAAGCACAATAGTAACGGGATAAAAGGACAAGTCCCTCCGTGGATCAAAAAACTGGCTAATTAATAGGAAAGAGAGAGTGAGTATAAATGGGCAATTTTCGCAGTGGAGGGTGGTAAGCAGTGGGGTACTGTAGGGATCAGTACTGGGTCCGATGCTTTTTAACTTGTTCATTAATGATTTGGAGTTGGGAGTAAGCAGTGAAGTGGCTAAATTTGTGGATGACACAAAATTGTTCAAGGTGGTGAGAACCAGGGAAGATTGTGAGACACTCCAAAGAGATCTGTCGAGGATGGACGAGTGGGTGTCAACATGGCAAATGGGGTTCAATGTGGCCAAGTGCAAAGTGATGCACATTGGAGCCAAAAATCCTAACTATAAATACACGTTGATGGGGTCCGAACTGGCAGAGACTGGACCAAGAGAGAGATCTTGGAATCATAGCAGATAACTCACTGAAACGCTATGCTGGGGATTATTAGGAAGGGAATTGAAAACAAATCAGCTAGTATCATAATGCCCCTGTATAAATCAATGGTGCAACCTCATTTGGAATACTGTGCACAGTTCTGGTCACCACACAGCAAAAAGGATATTATAGCATTGGAAAAAGTGCAGAAAAGGGCAACTAAATGATAAAAGGGTTGGAATACTTTCCCTATGAAGAAAGGTTAAAGCGTTTGGGGACTCTTTAGCTTGGAGAAATGATGGCTGAGGGGTGACATGATTGAGGTTTATAAGATTATGCATGGGATAGAGCAGGTAGAGAAAGAGGTACTTTTCTCCCTTTCTCACAATACAAGAACTCATGGGCACTCAATGAAATTGCTGAGCAGTCGGGTTAGAACAGATAAAAGGAAGTACTTCTTCGCCCAAAGAGTGATTAACACATGGAATTCACTGCCACAGGAGGTGGTGGTGGCTACAAGCATGGACAGCTTCAAGAGGGAATTAGATAGACATATGGAGCAGAGGTATCGATAGGAACTCTGAGGCAAGTGATGCTCTGTATTCTTGGTGATTGGGGGGGCAACAGTGGGAGGGCTTCTAGTGTCCTGACTCCACTGCTGGACCTCCTGATGGCACCTGGTATTTCTGGCCACTGTGTGACACAGAGTGTTGGACTGGATGGGCCATTGGCCTGATCCAACATTGGCGTCTCTTATGTTCTTATGTTCATTACCTTTACCTTTTACACCAATTAAGACCATGCCCAAAGCTCAACCAAACCTAGGAAACGAGATTATAATATATTCAACTACTCCTAAGGAAAGGTAAAGTTTTGAACAGAGGAAAGATGGAAAAAGGCATTGAAAACTGCAGTTTTATTTGAAGTTAAGAGAAAAAAAAATGCTTTCAGTCCTGACAAAATATTCCACATCTGAAATACTCACCACAGAGGACAACAGCAGCCAAAACGAAAAGCCCCAGCATGGTGATCAAGGCTCGACATCACCGGGGCCTTTCACTCTTTTTGTACTTTGTACTTCAGGAATTCCACGTCACCAAGATAGCAGAGATAAAGACAGCCATTCTTGCAGGGGGGGCGTGACGGAAAGATGCACAGGTGACTCAGGAAGACAAACTTCAACTAGCCTTGCTCCTTTCTTTTTTAAATTCTCTTTAACGTCAAAGCTGAACAGTTGATTTAATTAAATGAAATTGTGTCTCAGAGTAGGAAGAACTTTGGTGGTTTTAACCACCTCTCCCCAAGTATTTCTGGAAAGTCATGTGTAGAAGCAGATGTCAGTGCACAAACGAGGGTGGGGAAATACTTGGGAGATTTGGAGGGAAGCCTGGGGGGAGGGGAGGCTTTTGCATGGTCCAGTGCCATAGAGTCTACCCTCCAAAGGAATCATTTTCTCCAGGGGAACTGATCTCTATTGCCTGGAGATCAATTGTAATAGCAACAGATTTCCAGGCCCCACTTGGAGGCTGGCAACCAGTGTTCCCTCTAAGCTGAGTTAGTGTGAGCTAGCTCACAGTTTTTTAGCCTCCGGCTCACACGTTGCTCTTAGCTCAGGAAGGAGGGCTCCAGAGCAAACTAATTGATGCAGTAGCCAAATCACTTGCTCACAACATTAGTGCCAGTAGCTCACAGAGTAGAATTTTTGCTCACAAGACTCCACCACTTAGAGGGAACATTGCTGGCAACCCTCTGCATGACAGCACAATCCTAGGAACACTTCCCCGGGAGTAAGCTGCACTGAATCGACCTGAGTAGGAGTCTGAGTAGACCTTCTTAGGATTGCCATCTGTATCACTCTGGGTGCGTTCAGACGGGCAGCTAATACTGCAATTGGCCCGGCTCTAATTTGATCCCGATCTTTTTTATCCAGCATTGCATGACCAAACAGCTTCCCTTACCACACGCGTACTCCACGGTGGATGGTCTAGACGGCATCCACCTAAAGGAGCCGCGCAGGCGGGTTTTTTTTAAAAAAAATCTGTTTGCACATGCGCATCCGCACCTCAATGTGTACTTGCTTTTCCGCGCATGCGTGGAGGAATGATTAAAGCACCACCAGTGGTACCTCTCTCTAGGTACCTTTTTAATTAATGCAGTTTATAAAATTTAGAAACATGAAATTGTCCAGATCGTTTGAGCGGAGCTCTGCGGCTGTCGCGTGTTTACACATTTATGCACAAATTGCTAAGAATTTTTTAAAAATGGCATCCGCTCGGGATGGTCTGACGTCAGACCATTCCGACAGGAGGATTGCACGCTGGAATCATCAGATGGGGGAAAGTCCGCAATTGGCCCGTCAGGAAGTGGAACTCCAGATTTTAACTAGTATCTTTTAAGTACGGCTCCAAAGTGCGGCAAAACGGGATGCTCACGGAACAAGCACATTTCCCAGATGTTGGCAGAGGCCAAAAATGTATTTAGCATGTCTTGCTGGACCAGGGATTACCGGTACATACTGGGTGTGCATCTAAGTGTGGATACAGTCAGTCCTCAGTGGGATGTGCAGCGAAATGCCCATTCTGGCTCAACTAGTCATGTGTAATGAACTAGAGGGGGAACAAATAGAACTTCCTTATTTATTCATTCAATCAACATTAATTGCAAGGTAGTATCTGATGCCAGTTTTTAAAAAGGATTCCCTTACTGGTCAGTATGCCCCACCTCATGTTTGGATGACCCAGACTCTAAAAGTTACCAAAATAATGGCTTCTTTTGCATTAGCCAGAAATAATGGTAATTGCATTGTGGAAAATAGTGGATTGTATCCAGCCAGCATTCTTACTGAAACCCGCCCAAGTCGACTTCTTATTACAGCTTCCATTCCACATGACACATCATCCCCAGTGTAGCACTTTTTGTTGGCCAAAGCCGAAAAGCTTGCTGGATCAACCCTATTACTGTTTGCTTTAGCCTTGATCCGGATTTCCAGGGTTACTTCCTACCCCAGGTATGCTTTTCTGGCAAAACCCCTCAAAAGTTGGTGGATTCTACCACTTTGCTCCTGTAGGTAGTCTGGTGATGATATTCCTGATGGAAAATCAGTTACCATTTATTGATTCCTTCCTGACCATTGGTTATATCTTGTTGTTGGTGGGGGGGCATGGCATGTTAGTTTTGTGCTATTGCTTTTGGTCAATTAATTAGCTTAAAAATAATCTGTGCTACTATAACCAGACAGGATCGGGACTGGAGAAAAGCAAGGGGCCATAAAAGCAGTAGGTGAAAAAGAAAGCAGAAAGAACAGGTGTGGCAGAAAAAGCTTCAGGGAAAGGGGTGAAGCTTCATGGATAGCAAAGAGGAAGGGGAAGAGGGAGGACTGCAAGAGTTCCCCTGTTCCCCTAAGTGCTGGTATGTTTTCTAAGGCTCAGCACAGGGTGATGGTCCAAGGCTAGGTCTACCAATATAGTGGAAAGGGGCAGGTAGACCTGTTCTCTGGAGGACAGGTCTACAAATATGGAGGACTGGGGTGGGTAGACATGTTATCTGGAGGACAGGTCTACCAATATAGTGAAAGGGGGTGGGTAGTAGACTTGTTCTCTTGAGGCCAGGTCTACCAATATAGTGGAAAGGGGTGGGTAGACCTAATCTCTTGATGCCAGGTCTACCAATATAGAGAAAATAGGTGGGTAGACCTGTTCTCCAGAGGCACTTATCTTTCTTAAATTGCATTCACATCTACCCACTTTTCCAGTGTGTTCAGATCACATTGAATTCTATATCTTATGGTGTGTTTGCTGCTTCTCCCAATTTGGTGTCATCTGCCAATTTACTGAGTAACCCTTCCATATGTTTATCCAGATCATTTATAGACAGATTGAAAAGTACCAGGCCCAGAACCAAGCCCTGTGGCACCCCACTGGACACCTCCCTCCATTCAGATGAAATGCCATTGACAACTACTCTTTAAGTGAGGTTCTCCAACCAGTTCCCTATCCACCTAACTATCCTAGAGTCCAGTCCACAGTCCTGTAGTTTACCCATCAGAACATCATGGGGAACCCTGTCAAAGGCTTTACTAAAATCCAGGTAAACATCAACAGCATCCCCTCGATCCAGTAAGCTTGGTCTGGCAGGACCTGTTGGGGACAAATCCGTGCTCACTTTGTTCTGTGTGCACCCAGGAGAAAGGTGCAAATACAATATTGTTTTGGAATGGACCATCTGCACACAATCCCAGTGGGCCCCCTCCCCCTTTTGGAATTCTGCACCTGGTGAATTAAGTTGATTTGTGCAAGAGTGCACAATCAAATCGAATGTTGATCAGAAATGTTCGTTTGCACACAATCCTGGGGTTTACTTTTCTGTACTTCTGCACATGCTTACTTTCTCCTATTTATGTTCCAGATAGTCCCTCTAATTGAAGCATGCCATGATCCTCCCTCCCTTAGAACAAACAGTGGTAGGGGGGACCTGGCTTTTGTTGCAACATTGTGCTCTCCAATAACCAGGGGTCGTTTCGTAGAAAAAGAGCTAGGGAAACTCATTAGCATAACTCATTAGCATATGCCACACCCCCTGAAATCACCGGAAGTGTGTCATAAGGCCACACACCCCGCCCCCAACGGTCCCGGCCACCACCGGCCTTGCAGTTCCACTGCCGAGCCCCATGAGGGGCCCGGCGGTGGACCTGCAATGCTGGCGGGAGTGCGGGAAAGCCCCGCGAAGGCCCTCCCTGGCCCCAGGCAGGCAGGGGTGGAGAGAGGCAGGGAGGAAGCAACTTATCCTCCCTCTTCTACTGCCTCCTCCTGGCTGAATGAGGGCCAGAAGTGGGGTCGCCGGAAGCGGTGGGCGAGGCTTCGTCATATGCCCCACCCCCGTACCTCACCCGGGGGAACTGCGATCCCCCGCGTTCCCCCCCGAAATGACCTCTGCCAATAACAATACCTTCCAGCACAAAATACATATTTCCTTGTGGTTAAGAAACTGCACCTCCTTTCAAGATATATTGCAGGATGCTTCCTTTGTTCAAAATACTCAGAAGTGTTGTAGTTGGTACAGTGATTTCCGAGGGTTGCCATGCTGGTCTGCAGTGGAAGAACTAGCTTCGAATCGAGGAGCACTTTACAAAGCAACAAGATTTTCTGGGTATGGGCTTTCGAGAGACAAAAGGGAGCCCAGGACCAATTGGTTTGTCCATCTAAGATTATGTACATCTTTGCTGCCTTTTCTGGGTGGCCTGAAGGAAAAACCTTAGCCAAACATATGTAGTGACCGGATCTTTGGCCGTTCTTGACGCCACAAACCTGAGGGCAGTATACACCGGTGGGCTTGTTCTGACCCATCATTTCAACCGAGGTCTTCTCAGCAGGGGAGCTAGACATGAGTGGCTATGGTGGATCGGGGTCCGAATGGAAGGCAGCGGGGTGCCTGTCACTGCCACACTCACAGCACTTGATACTGGACTGGCATTCCTTAGCCACGTGGTGTTTAGACTTGCAACACTTGAAGCATACCTTGTACTCCTTGATCAGGGCCTTCTGCTCCTCCAGTGGCTTTTCTCTGAACTCCCTGCATTTGTTCAGATCAAAGGAAAGGATCAGATAGCAGGAAGAAAAGGATGCTCTATGTGTCCTGACCTCTCTATCTGTCTAAACTCTTTGGTGCCAACTTCGCAAGTTTGAGACAGGAGTCCTCCATTTCTAACACACCTAAGTAGGGCTTTCATTCAAAGACACTTATGTGGGAATAAAAAACTTGCTGGTCTTTAAGGTACCATAAAATGTGTTTGGTTTTGCTGTAATAAGACTACCAGGACTATGGAATGTTGAGCTGGAGATTTGTGGTGTCCTTGTCATGTGGTGGAAAAGTGCCCTCAAGTTGCAGCTGACTTAGGGGGACCTCACAGGGTTTTCGTGGCAAGAGATGCTCAGAGGTGGTTTGCCATTGCCTGCCTCTGTGTCACGTGACCCTGGACTTACTTGATGGTTTCCCAACCAAGTATTAACCAGGACTGACTCTGCTTACC